GGATATTTATTTGAACCTGAGGAAATATTCCCTTAGTTCATGTGTTTGGATATTTGTGTGGAACCTTTGAATATTCTCTGCTTGGGCAAACAATAATAGTTTTATTTTTTAGTGTTTAGTGATTAGGGTTTTAGAGTTTAGAGTTTAGGGTTAGGGTACAAATGTAAGATATTAGTTAGTGTGTTGTGGATACTTGTCTTTCCTAGTGTTAATACTTTTTACTGACCACATGATATTTATTTAAAATATTTTGATATTTGTCCGAGTTGTGTGGATATTTATTGGAACCCGAGGAAATATTCCCTTAGTTCATGTGTTTGGATATTTGTGTGGAACCTTTGAATATTCTCGGCTTGGGCAAACAATAATAGTTTTATTTTTTAGTGTTTAGTGATTAGGGTTTTAGAGTTTAGAGTTTATGGTTTAGGGTATAGGGTACAAATGTAAGATATTAGTTAATATGTTGTGGATACTTGTCGTTCCTAGTTGTAATACTTTTTACTAAAATATTGTGGTGTTTGTCCGGGTTGTGTGGGTAGTTATTTGAACCTGAGAAAATATTCCTTTAGTTCATGTGTTTGGGTATTTGTGTGGATATTAGATATTAGTTTTGCAATGAATGGATATTATAAGGGTGTCTTTGTGGACGTGTATGACAAGGTTTGTGGCTTTTACATGGATTGGTTTGTGTCGATGTTCCTTGATGTCCTTGTTGAGTTGTTTTTCATTTCCAATTCAGAGTCGTTGAATTTATACCATCAGAAATTGATTAAACCAATTTAGTGTTTAGAGCTTAGGGTTAGTGTTTCAGGTTTAGAGTACGAGTTTTGGTTTAGTGTTTAGGGTTCGGGTTTATGGTTTAGGGTAAGAGTTTTAAGTTTGGAGTTTTGGTTTAGTGTTTTGGGTGGTTCGATATTTGTCTCTAGTGATTAGGGTGGAGTTTAGTGATTAGGGTGTTAGTGTTAGAGTTTTTGTGGAACCTTAAAATATTCTCGGCTTCGGCAAACAATAATAGTTTTATTTTTTAGTGTTTAGTGATTAGGGTTTTAGAGTTTAGAGTTTAGAGTTTTGGGTTTAGGGTTTAGGGTTAGGGTACAAATAGAAGATATTAGTTGGTGTGTTATGGATACTTGTCTTTCCTAGTTGTAATACTTTTTACTAACCACAAGATATTTATTTAAAATATTTTGATATTTGTCCGGGTTGTGTGGATATTTATTTGAACCTGAGGAAATATTCCCTTAGTTCATGTGTTTGGATATTTGTGTGGAACCTTTGAATATTCTCGGCTTGGGCAAACAATAATAGTTTTATTTTTTAGTGTTTAGTGATTAGGGTTTAGGGTTAGGGTACAAATGTAAGATATTAGTTAGTGTGTTGTGGATACTTGTCTTTCCTATTTTTAATACTTTTTAATGACCACAGGATATTTATTTAAAATATTTTGATATTTTTCCGAGTTGTGTGGATATTTATTGGAACCTGAGGACATATTCCCTTAGTTCATGTGTTTGGATATTTGTGTGGAACCTTTGAATATTCTCGGCTTGGGCAAACAATAATAGTTTTATTTTTTAGTGCTAGTGATTAGGGTTTTAGAGTTTAGAGATTATGGTTTAGGGTATAGGGTACAAATGTAAGATATTAGTTAGTGTGTTATGGATACTTGTCGTTCCTATTTGTAATACTTTTTACTAACCACAGGATTTTTATTTAAAATATTGTGGTATTTGTCCGGGTTGTGTGGGTATTTATTTGAACCTGAGAAAATATTCCTTTAGTTCATGTGTTTGGATATTTGTGTGGATATTAGATATTAGTTTTGCAATGAATGGATATTATAAGGGTGTCTGTGTGGACGTGTATGACAAGGTTTGTGGCTTTTACATGGATTGGTTTGTGTCGATGTTCCTTGATGTCCTTGTTGAGTTGTTTTTCATTTCCAATTCAGAGTCGTTGAATTTATACCATAAGAAATTGATTAAACCAATTTAGTGTTTAGAGCTTAGAGTTAGTGTTTCAGGTTTAGAGTACGAGTTTTGGTTTAGTGTTTAGGGTGGTTCGATATTTGTCTCCAGTGATAGGATATTATTATGGATAGTGAAAGTAAGGTCTTTTTCAACCTATGATAATTGTTAATTAAGAGACTGGCTGGATATGTGGTCACATATTAGTCTGTGATAGTGAGAATATTAATTTCGGGATGATTAGATATTAGTATGAGACGGTGATATATTAGTCTGGGTAGTATGAATATTTGTAATGAAGAACATATATTAGTGCGACAGTCGGATATTAGTTTGAGTTGTTTGGATATATGTTTTATGGAGATGTGTTTTAGACGAGCAAATAATATTCCAGAATAAAAAACTCGAATTCTTAATAAAAAGAGTCGTTTGATAGACAAATCGCGATAAAACTAGTATTTAATGTCATTACAACTTGGCAATCCAAGAATTTCAAATCCCAAAAAGCACAACCACATAAGAAATGAGAAAGCAATAGTTCAACTGTTGTCTTGCTGACGCTTGATAATTTTTTTTGAGCGCTTTGTCCCGAACCCTCCACATTTGGATCATGCTCTCAACCATTGACTCCATTGCCGCAAGCTACATATGTTGTAAAATATTTAGTTTACTATATGCAACCATGTCACTTAAGAAGCAAAGACAACATCTATGTACCTGATTTAGGTCAAGGTTGTCAAAATCTTTGTTTTCCCAGCATGATGCGTCTGGATTGAGCCAGTGATGTGTCTCCGCCTCCCCTTCTCTTGGAGGAGCTGGCATCGAACACCTTTTAGATTTTGTCATCTTGGACAATTCCTGAAAATAGCTAATATCATTGAACTAATATCCATACAGGGCATAAAAATATCCAGACCTAGCATACAAATATCTATGCATCACATAACCAATATCCCGACAATCAACCACCATACAATATCCACATTAAACTAAATGGTATCCCATACCAGCTAAACAATTTTTCAGGTAAAAAAATATCAAATTAACGAGCAAAATCCAGAAACAATTCCTGAAAAGAGTAAATATCATTGAACTAATATCCATACAGGGCATAAAAATATCCAGACCTAGCATACAAATATCTATGCATCACATAACCAATATCCTGACAATCAACCACCATACAATATCCACATTAAACTAAATGGTATCCCATGCCAACTAAACAATTTTTTAGGTAAAAAAATATCAAATTAACGAGCAAAATCCAGAAACAAATCCTGAAAAGAGATAATATCATTGAAATAATATCCATACAGGGCATAAAAATATCCAGACCTAGCATACAAATATCTATGCATCACATAACCAATATCCGGACAATCAACCACCAAACAATATCCACATTAAAAAAAATCCCAGGTAAACAATTTTCCAGGTAAACAATTTTCCAGGTAAAAAAAATCAAATTAACGAGCAAAATCCAGAAACCCCAAACAATATCGACATCAAAAAACGAATCCCCCAAATCGAAAGAAATCCCAGCCACAAAAAAATCCCAGATCCCCCAAATCAAAAGAAATCCAAATCCCCCAAATCGAAAGAAATCCAAATCCCCCAAATCAAAAGAATCTCTGATCCCCCAAATCGAATCTCAAATCCCCCGACAAGAATCCCAAATCCCTAACAATGAATCTCAGATCCAAAAAACGAAGCAAAAAAAAAACTCAGATCCAGTCGAATCTATGAAACCCTAAATCAAATATATGTAATCCAGCAACAGAAAATCCCAGATCCCCCAAATCGAAAGAAATCCAAATCCCCCAAATCAAAAGAATCCCAGATCCCCCAAATTGAATCTCAAATCCCCCGACAAGAATCCCAGATCCCTAACAATGAATCTCAGATCCAAAAAACGAAGCAAACAAAAAAAAACTCAGATCCAGTCGAATCTATAAAACCCTAAATCAAATATATGTAATCCAGCCACAGAAAATCCCAGATCCCCCAAATCGAAAGAAATCCAAATCCCCCAAATCAAAAGAATCCCAGATCCCCCAAATCGAATCTCAAATCCCCCGACAAGAATCCCAGATCCCTAACAATGAATCTCAGATCCAAAAAACGAAGCAAAAAAAAAAAAAAAAACTCAGATCCGGTCGAATCTATGAAACCCTAAATCAAATATATGTAAACTAGCCACAGAAAATCCCAGATCCCCCAAATCGAAAGAAATCCAAATCCCCCAAATCAAAAGAATCCCAGATTCCCCAAATCGTATCTCAAATCCCCGGACAAGAATCCCAGATCCCTAACAATGAATCTCAGATCCAAAACACCTACATCAAAGGAAGATGCTTACCTCAAAAACTTTCTTCTCTTCGCAGCTGGTGTAGTCGTCTTCCTCGCGCTACTAGCGTCAATGTCTTCCTTCTTGCTCGGCCGACTTCGTCTTTCTTCAAGCACCGCTACCGGCGTTGCCAAGCACCGCCGTCTTCTTCCTGCCCGTAGCCCTCGTCGCCGTCGCCGGCGTCGTGTTTCTCACACCCATCGTTGTCGAGAGGTATTTTGAATTATTTGGGAGAGTGAGAGAGGAAGAAGAAGAAGAACAGAAGAGAGCATTCGACAGTTTTGGAGAGTGGGAGAGAAAGGAAAATGAAATGATGGAGAGAGAAAAGAAAATTAAACATAAATGAAAAGGTTGGGTTTTTTTGAATTGTAAAAAAAAAAAAGGAAGAGGCTTGGTTCAGCCGAGCCACAAGCTGCTCTTCTCCCCCTCCACCGTCCGATCGCGGCTCGCCTACGTGGCCTTAAATCTGACCGTGTTAGTATATACTAACAGCTTATGCTGTTAGCAGAATAACCATATTGCCCGAAGGTGCGATCTATGTTGCCAGCAATGTCAATCAATGGCTCTCCAAGGCAATTGGTCCCGAGATTGAGACCCTTGAAATTGACATTTGGGGATTTCGATTACCACTCCGGCTGCCTCCTCAGGCGGAGCTCAGGAAGCTTAGGGTGCTGAAGTTGGGTATGGGATTCCGAATCGTGGATGATTTCCCTCTTTGCCTTCCTAGCCTCAGGACGTTGCAGCTTCGTCACATCCACTGGGGCGCCTTAGATGCCCTTGCTTCAGCTGGTGCTGCCATGATGTCCAGGCTCATATCTAGCTAGCTGCCCGGTTCTCGAAACTTTACTTGTGGAGTGGGATTTGGAGTGCCATCATGGTGCTCAGGCATTCCATATCTGTTCTAACTCACTCAAGTGCTTGACCATATCCACTGGTCTCTGTGTTCTTGCTAGATCGGCTGCCCCAGCGAGATCTGTTGCTTTCACCACCCTGCACGTCAGAGCGCCGAGCCTCGTTCACCTCAGTTTCGAATTCGCTGGTGAAATTGCTGAATACAAAATCATCAGTAGGAGTAATAACAATGATCACGGTGGAATTGATTTCTTTTACCCCACAGTTGGTAGCTGTCCCACCAGTGATCGTCAGAACATTGCCATGATGCCCATTGCTGATCTCCTGCTGCCCAATAAAAAGTTGGGAATGAGGCCTGCAATCGAGAATAATGCTGCTGTTAAGGTAGGGAGTGATTTTTTCAGCCGCACTTGTCCTGAATTTTTTATTTAATTTGTGGTGTATATTTTGGAGACCCGGCTAACTAAATTTGATCATCTCTGCATGTGTTTTTACAGCTGGATTGCTCAAGTGGTCATTGTGTCCGAAGGGGAGAGCTTCAAAAGTTGACTCATTTGATCGTCCGGCTTGGTCCCCATGATGAAGACTTCCCGTGTGATTTACTTGAGCATCTTCCTAATTTGGTATCACTGCATGTAGTGGCGGATTCTCAGGAAACTTGTTCCGGGTGGGACAAGAGCAGCAGCGGAAGAACAAGTCACAGGGCGATGATGATACGGGCGCCACCAGAAGATCACGAGATACCAAGTTGCTTGTCGTCGGTGCTGAAGGTGGTTGAAATCAGAGGTCTGAATGGATTTGATGACGAGGTTCAGCTTGCGCTTGCATACTTGCTGAAGAATGGCAGGGTGTTGAGGGACTTGAATCTCTATTATGGTATGACTGCTGATCCCATGCTGTTGTGTAGCAGCTCCACCATCCAGAAAAACTTGCAAAACCTCTCATCCAACAACTGTCAAGTTACGGTTGCTGCACTTACGATGATAATATAATATGAAAGTTGCACCTGATGACCTTTGCGTAGTGAGTTTGAGAAAGGAATTGATGGTCCAAATTCTTCCTATGGAAATCAGAACCAGCCTGCCTTAGTAGGATGATAGGATCACTTAAAGGTGGAGGCCGTCCTCCTGAACCTCGATGATGTAGAGTTCCATGGCTCAGGCAGATTATTGCAGAAAGGGTGAAATATGATTGATTTCCACCCACAATTTGCGAAAGCGTGGTAAGAAATCACAGAAGCTTGACTTTTCTTGGTGAGTAAGGTATTGTGGACTGCGGAGTTCATACAGCTTTGGCGCATATCACCATGGTGATTGATGGACCCATCACCCATGTATAGACCGCTAAATTATTATAACAACAAATCATCAGTATTTATCATAAAAGCTAAAGAAATTATGTTTTTCCAAAATGCATCAGTTTTACAAATTATACGCAAAACAACACTAATATAAATTTTTTCTTAAATACACGATTTTGGGCTAGATCGCTATAGTGTTCATTGATTTTGGTTCAAATCATTGCTAATGAAAGAAATTTAGATGAATAGCTGCCAAGCTCCAGCAATATAGCTTCAAAATTGCAGGAGACTTCAAAGAATTTTACTTGACTTACATGATACATCGTAACTTCAAACGGCAGTAACTTTGCACTTAGTTATCCGATCGACGCAATTTTGTACTATGTAGTCAAACGGATTGTTTTGTGATTCATTAAACTTTGTACGCTTGCGATTTTGTGCTCTATTTTTGAATTGAGACAAACTCTTTTTATTCTGCAAAACTTTTTAAGGATTGCAACTTTTCATGGTACAATTTTCCCTCTCTTCTTTTTGGACTTTGGGGTTTTGAGCATAACTTGATATTTATTTTTCGAACTTTCGGCATTTTGAAGTTTTTCCACTAATAAAAGTTGTAGTTCTTACAAAATTATGCAAAATAAAAAGAATTTGAGCCCCAATTAGACGACAAAGCACAAACTATTGCTCATTTAAAGTTTATCGAGATCACAAAATAGCCTATTTGAAATAGCGAACGACCTTACTTGGAGAAGGCATACCATACCGCCTTTAATCGCACGCCAAAATTGCAATTTTTGAAGTTCCGACCTATGAAATGCAAAAATCGTCGGAGCCTCCCGTGATTTTGAAGCTAGATTGTTGAGATTTGCAGCGATTTAGATAAATCATTTGTGGCAGTGATTTGGGTAAATCGTTGTGAACCCTAATATTGCTGAAAAAATGTATAATGGAAAAAAAATTAACAACTTATTTATTTTGAAAAAACAAGGCTCCCTCGTGCGGCCGTTTCCCTTTACTGCAGAAATCCAGGCCCAATTATGTATTTATGGGGAAGCGATGGGCTCCCAGCCCATCTTAGCAACAATAGTGGGAGGGGTTATGGGAAATACCAGCGACGCCAAAGGTAAAAATGTTCTTATGGCGATTTGTGCAGAATATCCTCCCGACGGGGAAGAACATTGAATCGAGGAAAAGGAGGCGCCGGTGGAATGCCCATTTTGTAACCTAGTGGAAACTCAAGAGCACATCTTCCTGGAATGCGCGTGGGTGAGAAGAATTTGGTCACCTAGAGAGTTTCTACGACTGTTCGAACGAGGGGAAAATCTATCCTGCAAATCCTGGTTCTGCGAAGTATCAAAGGAAATCGAGGAGGAGAAGATGGCCCAATTCACGATGATTCTATAGAATATGTGGAATGAAAGGAACAACCATCTTTCCAACAAGAAGAAGGCTGAGGAATGGGAAATTGTCGGCAGAGCGGGCTGGATTAAGATCAATGTTGATGCCGCAATCTTTGCTGGGGAAGGAATTGGTGCGGGGGTAGTAGTGCGGGATTGGACTGGGATCTGTCTGCTTGCCCCAGTTCGTCGAGATCGGCGACAGTGGCGCCCAAAAATTGCCGAGCTGATGGCAATTGGGTTCACTCTGGAAATGGCAGAAATGAAGGGATTCTCAGAGGTGGAAGTGGAGTCTGATTGCCTGGAAGCAATCTCGAAGTTACAATGCAAAGTGGAATCGCTGATGGAAAAGGGTGGGCTCAGTTTTGAAATTCGAGCCTAGTCTCAGTTGCTGGGACAGATCAGATGGAAATTTGAAAATAGAGAGTGCAATACAGCAGTCCATACTATGGCTCATACACCCTATAGTTGGGATAATCATGAAATCTGGGAGGATAGGTCGCCTGTATTTTTAATCCCACTTCTTGATGCGGATTGTAATCCTTTTGATGGTTGACTAATATAAAATCCTAGGTGTTCTATAAAAAAAATTACATTTTAGAAAGTTACATAAATATATTAACTACAATTTTTTCTCTTTCTCTCACTTCCACAATCTTAAACCACATTTGGTCACCGATATTACTAAATTGTGTCATGTTTAGTCACTAGAAAATAATAATATCAAATTTGGTCACCCAAATTACTAAAACAGGTCATGTTTAGTCACTCTCCGTTAGTCTCCGTCCAACTCCGTTAATGGAGTCCGTTATGTGTGGACGTGGCTGACGAAAGCGTCTAATCAACACCATTTTGAGCCGGAAATGGTCAAACCCGACCCGCCTCATCATACACCCAACCCAAAACATTAACCCAACCCGACCCAGAACCAATAATCTCGCTTAACCCCTCCTCCTCCTCCTCCATCGTCGACCTAAACCCACTTTTCCATTTCCCCGACTTGAGCCCTTACCTCGAATATCTCCTCTCGGCCATCAGAATCCTTTTCACTTTCCCTCCTCTAGCTTCCTCTCTCTTCTCCTTCAAGCTCTTCTTCTCCTTCCTGTCTCCCCTCCTCTCCTCATCCAAGCTCCCGATCCAGTCTCTGTCTTCTCTCTCATTTGACCGCCCTGCCTTCTTCACCCAAACCACCAGGTTTATCTTTTTTTGTTCTGCCATTTCAACCTTCTTCGTCGCCTTCGTCGCCTTCGTCTATCCATCTCTCCAAATTGTCCCACTTTTTTGTTGTTGTGAAAAACGGGTTCCCCAAATTGTCCCATAAATCTCTTGTTTCCTCGTGTTCCATTAGTTTCCCAGTGGTTGGTCTTTGTCTCTCTCTTCGTTGGTTTCCGGCCGTATTCATTTTCGCTTTGTGTGTATGTTGAATAATCTGCCCAGGTTAGTCGATTGCTCTCTCTCTCTGCCCATACTGTATTTTGCTTGATTGGAGTTGTGTGTGGCTCTCTGTTCCTTTCATTGTTCAGACTTCAGATTGAACTTGTAGTTCGATTCTCTCGTTGATTTCATTTGGGGTTCTGGAAATCCTGTGACTACTTCTGAGAATTAGGTCTTAGTTGATTGATTTCCTTCCCTTCACTTTCATGGTCCTTAGGCATGGAACTCCGGATCTTCGGTTTCGATTCGTAGAAACTACGACATTCTTTATTGTAAGCACTTTGGGGCATTTCTGATTTTTGGGTAGCTATATCACCTATGCTTTAGCAGTATCTCGTGGTGTGTTTAGGCATTCTTTATTCGGTCAGGCAGCCTATGGTACACCAAGAGGAAGGATGAGAGATCCCAGAAAGCATGCATTTTTCTGGATTTTGTCAAGGTTGGAGTAGTACCCCTCTTAGATGAGCTCTTTTGGTATTACACTTGTGATGAATTTGGTTGGAGTGGTTTGTACGTTGGTTTTGTGGTCATTTGAATGATTTGCACTCTTATTCTTATCTCGAGCTCGTAGGTGGAGGTATGGCGGTCGAATGCGAGAGAAGACGGAGACTGGATCAGGAGCTTGGATGAGGAGAGGAGGGGAGACAGGGAGGAGGAGAAGAGACATGAAGCTAGAGGAGGGAAAGTGACGAGGATTCTGATGGTGGAGAGGAGAGAGTCGAGGTAGGTGCTCGGGTCAGGGAAATGGAGAAGTGGGTTTAGGTCGACGATGGAGGAAGAAGAGGAGGGGTTGAGCGAGATTATTGGTTCTGGGTCAGGTTGGGTGTATGATGTGGAGGGTTTAGTGACGTGACGGGTCGGGTCTGACCATTTCCGGCTCAAAATGGTGTTGATTAGGCGCTTCCCATTAGCCACGCCAACACATAACGGACTCAACTAACGGAGTTGGACGGAGACTAACGGAGAGTGACTAAACATGACACGTTCTAGTAATTCGAGTTACCAAATTTGATATTAATATTTTCTAGTGACTAAACATGACACGATTTAGTAATCCCGGTGACCAAATGTGGTATTAATCCCAATACGAAAAGAAAAAAACAATACTAATGTGAAAAAACACTACCAATACAAATACACTCAAACCATTATGAAAAACGTACATGACAACTATAGGTGTCAAAACAGAACCCGACTCGAGTAACTTGCCCAATCAACCCGACCGCAACCCGAAATGACTAAAAGTCAATAACCTGTAACCCAATTGACCCGCAACCTGAATAACCCGCAATCCGAACCCGATTAACATGAAAAATTACTATATTATATAATATATATAGTCTTTTAAAGTAAAGTTTTTGTTCTAAACTTAAGTACAACCGTTATTTCATTTCACAAAAAGAAGTTCACTTGAAGTTATGTCTTTTTTTTAAATTACAAAAATGAAAACATGAAGATCAGTTGAACATTAATTTCTTTAACAAAATTACCAAAAAGTAAATAAGAAATATAAAGTCATCACAATGCCAATATTGATAATGAATAATTGAAAATTAAGACACTCTATAACATTAATATAGTATTCGCGTATTAAAATTTTGGTTAATTTAAATATTCGATAAAATTATCAATTAAATATAAATAAAGAAAACGTATTGCATTTGGTGTTTTCAATTTCTTAGAAGAGAAGAAGAAGGAAAGTTGAGTGCTTTTAATTTAAGAGAGAGAAAGAAAGAGGAAATTTTTTGTGTCTTCAATTTTTTGTCAAAGGAAAGAATAAATGTTTTTGGTGCATTCAAATCTGGTACTTCAAAATTTAGTCTTTAAAATATGAATCTTTATTTTTTTATGTGGAGGGCATGACTAATTGATTATGAAAATGCTAATTTACTATATTATATTTGAGAACCTATCATGAGTTTCTCTTCTTCAATATAATATTACTCAACTATCTTAAATTTAGATTCATATGCGTAATTACTTATCAATTTTATTATTACAATGCTTACATATGATGATTTAGGAGTTTAACATTTAGTGACTAAGACATTGTCAATAGTAAACATTACTATAGCATTATAGAGCATGACTAATTACTTATAGTAGATTTTAATACATATCATGTGTTATCTTATCTCAATCACGTCATTCGAACAATCTCAAATGCAAGTTGCAATACACATAACCTAGCACCAATCATATAAACTAATTTAACAACTTATGGTAAATAATATACTTAGCTAGCTATATGACCTAATTTGACAACTTTAGGGTATGGAGTTTTTTTTTGTCAAAAGATATCATATATTGATCGAAAAAATAGGCAGTTACACCATGGAAACCAGCCAGGTCTGGAAATCAAAAAAGCGACTCATAGTCGGATACAAAGAGAGGGCTTTCCTAGCTACCAAATGAGCTACCCTATTGTTTTCCCGACCTACAAAACGCACACTAAACCCAGATTGAGTACGAAAATAATGAGTAATTTCTTCCAGAACAGCACCCAACCGGCTATCTCTTGTGTCGGCTTGATTAATTTTGTCAATAATCACCTTCGCATCGCCCTCAAATCGGACTTCCAACAAACCTTGCTCCACACACCAAATAACTGCGTCCCTAAACACCAGCAATTCCACCACTATAGGATCATCCATTTGAGGAAACTGGACCCCTCTAGCCAGTAGGAGTGTCCGCGCTGGGTCGAAAAGAACCATCCCACCAGCCGAATGAGACCCACCCTTAGTAGCCCCGTCCCACATGCAAACCAAATGGGAACCACCCACTTGAGAGGGAGTATGCATTATCGGGATTTGAACTCTAGGCACCTGGTCCGCTGGTAGACCTGCCCATTCCTCATACTGTTGGTGGAACTGTCGCAAGAGCGCCGGGATCCCAAATTGTTTGCCCTCAAATACTACCCAATTCCGAGATCGCCAGATCCTCCACAGGACGGCAACAACAGCCATGACCACTGACGATTGATGGATCAACCCCAACAGACGCTTGAGAAACAAAGGAAAAGTATGCCGAGGCAAACCCTCCCCCAAGTATTCCAGCCCAGAATAGTCCTAGAGAGCTCGCGCCACCGGGCAATAAAGGAATAAATGTTCCATTGTCTCTGGGCCACCCCAACAAACTGGACACCGAGGGTATGGAGTTATATAATTTGATGTCTAAGATATATTTCTATAGGCTTTAATAACTAATTGACTAAGTGGCTATAATATATTTGAAAATTTATCATAACAAACAAATTGATCTTGTTATCGTACACATAACCTAGCACCCGCGATATGTACTAATTTAACAACTTATGATAAACAACATACTTATGCGTTCACATTTCTTATATGTACTTTGATCTATTTCAATGAATTAGAACTATCGGTTAGTATTATTTTACATTAAATAAATTTTATTGTTCGGGTTAGAGTAAAAAAGAGATTGGGGGTCACCTATTAGAGGTTAAGGTATAATTTCAATTTCCATGGCTCAAACTCGATTAAATGGTAGTTTAAATAATAAAACTTGGCGACGTACGATATCGCAGACGTATAGCTTATGGCTGAGACTGGCATATATTAGCAATTTAGCTAGCAGGGAGAAGCTAGGGCTAGGGTGCTAACTCTATAGGAGATTAGCACCATCCTAACCAACATCTAAACTGTTCAATCAATTTTAGATCTAATGGCTACAAATATAGAAAGGGTATAATAGGGATAGAAAAAATTGCATATTAAATTTTGAATTTAATTCTGTTGTTCGTGTGATAGAGGACGGATTTTGTGGGATCCTTTCAATTGACGGTTTGAATCACTGCTCCATATTTTTATTTGGTGATGGTGAATGGCAAGGATGTTTGCGGGGCGACGACGTCTGCAACATAATCACTGCAGAATCACAACAAATCATAGAAACACTAAACCATAAGAATCACTACTAATAAGTACAAACTATTTGCAGAATCACTACTAATGCTAGATCTGAAGAACACTACAAGGTCTTGTAAAAATTGGAAAAACACCAAAATAATGCCAATAAAAAAACACTACCACTATAGATATGAAGAAAACTGCTACTATATACAAAAATAGAGAACGCCACTTACAGAATCACTACTAATTATAAAACCCTACTATATACATAATCACTACTAATTATATATCTATAAACATTACTAGGTCCTGCAAAAAATTGGAGAACACTACCACATATAAATTTGGAGAACACCTAATTAATATTTCAATTCCAAACTTACAAAACGCTACGAAGTAGAGCTGGAAACCACTACGAAGGCTGATGAAACACTACAAGTCTAAAAATCGCTACTACTGTAAATATGACCAAACAGTAGGTGAGACATATACCAGATCTGAAATCCTAAACCTACTTGATGTCATCCAATACACAACTTCAATCCACCATAATCGAGATGGTGCAGGCAAGGCCGATTTAGTCGACGACGTCGCTAGTGAGGGTGAGGGAGGCGAAGGCGCCACAGGCGAGGCCAATGCAGACGACAACGCAGATGAGGGCAGCGGAGGCGAAGGCGGCGCCGACAACATCGATGCAGAGGACGGCGATGCAAGCGAGGTCGTTGCAGACGACGACGTTGCAAGAGAGGGAGGCTGAAGACGGCTACGACGACGGAAGGGCGGAGATGGCGAGGGCGGATACTAGAGAAATTGGATTTGGATCGTCAAATAGTGAAAGAGAGAGAAGAGACTAGAAAAGAAAATTTGGGGAAGAAAAGGAAATTGGGAGTTAATTCCATGAATATTGTTTTTTTTTTTTAATTTACCACGAATATAGTGGTTTTAAAACTATTTACAAGAATATTGTGTTTTTAGGAAGAAAGTCGGCGACGGCGCCCGAGACTTAGAAATTCAAGTTTTAAACGCTGTTGATAGCGACAGCGCCACAGTCCCGAGCTTTGGCGCCTTCTGAAATTTCAAAAATTTTAAGAGGCGCCAAAGCCCGAGACCGAGGCGCTGTCGCTGTCAAGTTTAATTTTTTTTTACCCCCTTCCTCCCCCCTTCCCCTCTCGCACCACACCAGACCAGACCCATCCCACCTCCCCTCTCCACTCCTCTCTCCATCCCAGCGCCAAGAACAAGCGGCGACGCCGAGAACCAGAGCGGCGACGCCGAGAAAAAGGCAGCAGCGCCACAGTCCAAGGCGGCGGCGCGCGGCACAAGGCGAAGTCGCCACCTCTCTAGCGGCGGCGCAATGTCGGACGACGAGCAGGCCCCCGGCGGCGGCAGAGGAAGAGGCCGAGGCCGGCGAGGTCGGCGTGGCGGCGGTGGCGGTGACGGCGGCGGCGGCGGCGGCGGCGAACGTTACCGGAGTGAGTATTGCCGGCGGCGGCCGGCTTCTCGCCGGCGGCGACTTTTTCCGGCGACTTTTTTTTTTTTTTGTCTAACATTTTTTTTTCTTCAGTTCCTAGGCTTATCGATCCTTGTTCGATGAGACCACCACCTACGACAATCGATACTGCTCCGAATGATCCGGAACTTCTTTGGGGGCATGGTCACCATCGGATTGACGCAGTTTGGGCAAATGAGGTAAGTTTTTTAAATTAAATTATTTCTATAGTTTTTTTTATTAGCGGTATAATAGAAATAGAATAGAATAGAATTAAATTAAATTAAGAATAGAATTAGATTAAATTAAGAATATTATATTAGAATAAGTTTAGTTTAGATATATAAAAATTAAGAATAGAATTAGATTAAATTAAGAATATTATATTGAAGGAATTGAATTAATATAGTTTTGTGCATTAATTAATTATAGGCTGGTGATCGACCATACCACATTCGTCATACTGGCAATTTAGTTCGATACAATCCACTGTACCTGCCGTATCTCGTCGATGCCGGCTTGTCTAGTGTTCTGCCACTAGCCCCTCTTACCGGTGATCCGGGTTTGATTACTGCGCTCGTAGAGCGTTGGAGACCCGAGACATCGACATTTCACATGCCGTTCGGTGAGGTGACGATCACTCTAGAGGACGTTGCGACACTCACTGGATTAGCGATCGACGGTGATGCCGTCATAGTAGACATACCAGACGAGGACTGGTCGGCTATGTGTCTTCGACTGTTAGGACAGGCTCCTACTGATCTTGGTGGCGGCGTCATCCGGATTACTTGGCTCAGGGATACTTTCGATGAGCTACCGCTTTCTGCATCACCAGAGACGACAGAGCAGTATGCTAGAGCGTATGCGCTGTCTCTGATGGGAGGTGTCTTGTTCTCCGATCGGTCTGGAGGTTCAGTTCACCTGCAGTATCTACTTTTGGTAGAGGATTGGCGCAGAGCGGGGAGGTTTGCTTGGGGAGCAGCTGTGCTATCCTACTTGTACCGTGAGATGGGTAGATCGGCGCTGCAGATGACGGCATCTTCTTCACTGGGTGGTGACTTTGGTGGATGGGCCGCCTTGCTGATGCTCTGGACGTGGGAGCGGTTTCCTCATACATCACCACTACATGCGGTGACGGGTGCGCAGATTACTCAGGACGCAGTGCCACGTGGCATTCGGTGGCTTCCGGCCCAGACCCGTCAGCATGGAGATCAGTTCTACTTGTACAAGCTGTGGTTTGACGAGTGCCCGACATTCGTGGTTAGTATATAACATTTAGTTTTATAGAATAGTTTTAATTGATTTATTATAGATTTAGGAGTAATTATGTGACCAATCCTTGTGTGCAGTGGCGTCCGTACTTTCATAGAGGTCAGGACCTGGTTGAGTCGAAGGAACTCTTACCCAATCTATACAAGGTCCATAAGCCCAAAATACTCGCTGAAATATCGAATGACCTGGTTGAGTCGAAGGAACTCTTACCCAATCAATCACCGATGTTGGCATTTTTCTCTTGACCACCCGCAAGAATGTCTGCAAAAAATCATAGGATTCTTCCCAATTTCCATGCAACTTCTCCAATGCTCTTTGTTTCCCATACCAAGCCTTCTTGTAAGTAACTTGCATATTAAACTTATCTTTCAACTCGGCTTGCACAGTTAGAACACTCAGATTTGGTTGGGCACGTACCAAATGTTTGACGGCCTCAGATATCACGTCGACATCAAGATGGCGATGATCCGTCGGTTGAGTCGTACTGCTACAAGTATGCACCAACTCGACCTTTCTCACGCTCCAATCGCCTCCCACATCTCGACATCCAAACCGCACCATCCAAGGACATTTGTCCTCCTTGTGCATCAAACATCTGATCTTCCAGATTGAAGGTGACGACTCCACCACGTTATACTGAAAGTTGCGTTGTAGTGCATAGTGCTTCATCGCCACCTGTGCAGCTTGTTTCGAGTGAAATATCTGCCCCTTGTAGAATTCTCCATCAAAACCACCAACAGTAGACCCTGGAATTACGCCATATGAATCAGCATATGATAATTCCTCGTCCTCTTCATTACCCTGCAAGTAAAAATATGGAGGATAATTAGGTAGTTCTCCTCCCTCCCCGTCGTCGTCGTCCTCCTCCTCCTCCTCGTCTTCCTCCTCCTCCTCATCTTCCTCCTCTTCGTCATCATCGTCATCAAAGGCAGGATCGGATGGCACGCTCCATGTATCATCACCGTCATCATCGTCTTCCTCTCCATCCCGATCCTCACTGAGCTCAGCATGTATCTCAGCACCCAAACAATAAGAATTTTGTGCCATAAAATTCCAAAGCACATTTAAACTATCATCATCGACAATAGGCATTGCATGATGAAATAAAACACCATTTTGCCATTCTGGAAGACAGTAGGTGAAACCTGTAATCACAACACTATCTTGTACTGTTTCGTCTCTAATCCGTATTCTCCGAATTAGATGATCACAAAGTTTCTGATAGTTCACCCTGGATGGAATAGTAATCTGGAAACTTAAACCACCAACAAAATGGACACCCAAATTGTCTTCTACTTTCTCTGATCGCCACCGAACAGCTAGTTCAAATCTCCTAAAACCACTACATTAAAAACAAACTCTAATTACTAATTGGACAAAATCATTATGATGAATACATGAAAAAAAAAATTACGACTCTTACCTGTTATCAGCCATCTTCCCAGCAACCAGACAGCAACACCAGAGCTTCTCTCAGAACTTCTTTCAGTTTTTTGGTGATGAAGAACCGAAGGAAAGGTGCAGTATATATAATGGAATGGGTGGTGCTGGAGTGGGAAAAAATGGCAGCGACGAAGCCACAGTCTGGGGCGCCGACGCTTTTTCTATCTCAAAAGCGCCAAAGCCCCAGTCCGGGGCGCCGGCGCCGAGTTGTTTTTTTTAAAAAGCACCTAGCGCCGGCGCCCCGGACTGGAGCTTCGGCGCTTTCAACATATCAAAAAACACAATATTCCTGTAAATAGTTTTAAAACCACTATATTCGTGGTAAATTAAAAAAAAAAACAATATTCCTGAAAATAACCCGGAAATTGGTTGGAATGGAGGAGCAGTTATTGGGTTTGACCCATTACAAATATCACACGCTTATTCCCAAGGGTGTGATCACATACATACCTTTCCAAAATACTCCTTTATCAAAACCACCCTTAGATTGACTTAAATATGAACGAATGGAGATGTGAAGGGTTACTACGGTGCTAACCTATTAGGTGGTTAGCATCCCATTCCCATCTCATCCCTAACAGGAACTATATATGAATTTTGTATTTATTAACTATTAATTACAATTAATACCAGAAAAAATTGGCGGCTATTTGTGAAAACAAATGAATTGGCGGCTATTTGTAGTCCCTCAAAAGCAAAAACAAACGAATTGGAGCCAAAATTTAAAGGGTTAACATTGGGAGCCAAATCTAGGTGATGGAGGACAGTGTCCTTTTTGGAGCCAAACGAAAATGTAGAGTCCTTTTTAGTTTTTAGAGGCAAAACGAAAAAGTGTAGAATTTTCAATTGGCTTAATTGCAAGTTTGGTCACTCGAATTGCTTAAAAATTTCACGTTTGTCACTCAAATTGATTTATTCCATTTATAGTCACTCGAATTAGTTGAACAGACCAAGTTTGGTCACTCTCCGTTAACCTCCGTTAGACTCCGTTAGTGACGACCGTTAAGTGATGACGTGGCTAACAGAAAGACACCGTCAGCATATTTTAACATTAAAAAACGACAACCCGACCCGCCAGCTCAGCCTTACCCGCCCTGTCAGCCACTCTTGCCCAACCAGCGAACCAACCCAATTAATTGACACTAAACCCAAACCCGAGACCCGCCGCCGTGGTTGTTGGTCTCCGCGATGTCGGTGGTGGGTGTAGTCTCCCTGGGAAACGCCGGCTTGTCGGAGCTCCGAGGCAACCACATGAAGTATTCCAAGTTCGCCGCCCAACCATCCGCTTCTACCTCGCCGTCGTCGTCCTGGTCCTCCCTCCCCAGCAGAACCGGGATGCTTGTGGCCTACACTCCGGCATTCCTCGCCGCCTTGTCCTCCCTGCTCCTCCTCCACCATGGCGGTGACGGAGCTTCGTCTTCTAGGCTCTTCCTGGTCGAATCCGCCCTCGCCGTACATTTCTTCAAAAGGGTTTTCGAGGTACGTACTTTCTCCCAGTTCCAATTCAATCCAGCTCCAGCCCTTTTCTTCGAATGGAATTTTGATGGTTTTGTGGTCGAAATTGCTTGATTGCAGACACTGTTCGTACACAAGAAAGGAAAAGAAGAAGGAGAAGGGATTTGTTCATTCCCTTGGTTAAATTAATTATTAACCACACCAATTTATTGGAAGGCATGATTTTTTCGTCAACTTAGGGATCTTTTTTCTTTGTGTGTTCTTATGGATAGGGGAAGAAGATGCAGATAGAGATAGAGATTTCAATCGCCCAACCCCAAAATCTCTTCTTCTCTCTCCCCGTCGGCACCATCTCCACCGCCCCAACAAAATTCCTACCAACCCGGACTTCATCTCCTCCAAGCCTCTCCTTTCTCATTCGTCGCCGCCGCTGCCGAAATGGCGAGTTCATCCCACTGGATCTACAGACCCGCCTCTGTCTCTCTCGATCCGTCGATATGTTGTCGACCGTCGAGCATACATCGCCTCTCTCGATCTGGGCGTCGACGTAGGAGAGGGTTTACTCGACGGGTGGGCAAGCGTTGAATTTGGTCAACAACGACATCGCGGAGACCAACAACGACGGCGGCGGGTCTCGGGTTTGGGTTTAGGGTCAATTAATTGGGTTGGTTCGCTGGTTGGGCAAGAATGGCTGACAAGGGCGGGTAAGGCTGAGCTGGCGGGTCGGGTCTTTGTTTTTTAATGTTAAAATATGCTGATTGTGTCTTTCTGTTAGCCACGTCATCACTTAACGGTCGTCACTAACGGAGTCTAACGGAGGTTAACGGAGAGTGACCAAACTTGGACTGTTCAACTAATTCGAGTGACTATAAATGGAATAAATCAATTTGAGTGGCAAACGTGAAATTTTTAACCAATTCGAGTGACCAAACTTGCAATTAAGCCATTTTCAATTACAAGATTTGAAAATTCTTTTACCAACTGATAACCATAACTACTCATTTTATCACAAAAAATGTAGACAACTAAATAATATATATTAATTAATTCTTGTGATTATAATTATAATTACAATTAATTATACGACAAGTTTGCAAGTCATACAATACAATTGTAATAGTTTGATAGTTTGAAAGATATAACAAATTGATAGTTTGAAAGATATAACAAACTGATTAGTGTATTTTACCAATAATTATTAATTATATAAAAAGTTTGGAAGTCATACAATTGCAATAGTTCGATCATCTTAAAGATGTAACAAATTGATTAGTGTATTTTACCAATCATGATTAATTTTTTGAAAAGTTTGCAAGTAATACAATTGCAACACCTCGATCACGTAAAATAACGTATAATCAACCATTTGACAAATTTACATAAAAGTACAGATAAATAGATTGAAAATTGTTAATAAATTTTTTTAAATTAGTGTAATGGATAATGTGTAAATTTAACGAGTAAGGAGAAATTAAGTCAGATGTGTTGACCCGACCAACTTGTAAACCGACCCGTTTGCAAACCGCCCGACCCGTAACCTGATAAACATCAATCCGAGTAACTCGTAACCCGATTAGCCCGGAACCCGATGAACCCATAACCTGACGAAACGAAAACCCGATGAAACCAAACCCAATAAATTCGAAACCCGACTAACCCGTAACCCGATTGAAGCCAAACCGAACCCGTCCGATTGACACCTATAGTGACAACCACTACCAATACAAATGCACTCAAACAATACGGCTACAAAAAAAGTATCAAACTAGTACCAATACGAATACACTCAAACCAAACTAATACCATAATAAAATTGAAGCAATGCCAAATAAATAAATAAAAACAACCAATACTAGAGAGAGAGGAGTGGGCGTAGGGGGTGGGAAGAGGAGGTGGAGGAGGGACGGTTGGCAGGCCGTGGCAGGGGCGGTAAGGTGGGCATGGTAGGGGAGGGGAGGGTCGTTGGGTAGAGAGAGGAGGGTCGGCGGTGGTGGGAGGAGGAGGGCCTACGTGATGCTTCTTTCATGATAAACAGGATTGTCAGCAAACTGTATTGCTGACATGTGGTCACAATAAACATTAACTGGAGATGGTAGTGTAAT